GACGCAGTGGAGTGGAGGGCCTGCGTCCCCCCTGCCACCCAACCCGTGGGTGGCAGTCTCCCCATCTCCCAGGCCTTTTGAGGCTTGGGCCTACTATTGTTGCTCAGCCCTGACTGAGGGCCTGAGCTTCTGACTCAGTGTTTGTTGCCCTGCCCTAACCTAGGGCCTGGGCTAAACACTCTTGCTTGATGCTCAGCCCTGACTGAGGGCCTGAGCTCCTGACTCAGCGTTTGTTGCCCCACCCTGACCTAGGGCCTGGGCTTAATACTTTGTACTATTGTTGCTCAGCCCTGACTGAGGGACTGAGCCCTTGACGTAGCATTGGTGCCCTGCCCTGAGCCAGGGTCGGGCTTACTGTGTCTTCCAGGACCGCAAGGGCTGCCGAGGGAGATCCTGCAGCCAGACGAAGTACCCAAGCACCAATGTGTAGTGAGCCGGTGTGGCTCCCCGCCGCCCCGGAGAGGGTCGAGCCCCGGCAAACCCTTGTACAGGGGCCGATCCATACCAAGCAGAAAGGTATGTCAGGTGATGTAGCTGTCCACTGGGACCTGGCCTGAGACCCATCAACTTATCTCACTCAGGGCACCAAACAGCAGCCTGATGGCAACAACCCTCTATTGCTATTGAGAAGGGCTGGAATTGAACCCTCTCCTAGAGGGGTGATGCAGTGCATCCCATTCCCCCCTCATCTATTGATTTCCTGGGGGGCGGGGAGCTGTGTTACACACCAGGCTCCCTGCTGGCTGACTCACCATTAAAATGTCATCTCCACCCATATTTTCGCGGAGGATTTGGTCTCTGACACTCTGCAGCATAGTGTAAGCCACGATCACTTGGAAATTTCTGCAGGGCATCCCCATCAGGAATACCTTGGAAGAAACAGACCATGGGCCAGAATCAGTGAAAAACATCAGAGGTGATTCCCATGCTCCACCCAAACCCAGCGGAATCTGAACCTTTTGTTTCAGGAACCAAACATGAGGAACTAGCAGCCTATAGTGCCTTTTATGCTGGAGGATCCCAAAGCTTTTCATAGACTATATCTTTGAGATCACTGAGTCATCTGCCATTCAAATGCAACCACCTGTGTGGTGGAACAAGGCAGCTATTTCAGAGCATGCAGCACACTACACAAATAAATAGGGGAAATAAGAAGTGAGGTTTTTACCCACAAAAGCTTATGCCCAAATAAATCTGTTAGTCTTTAAGGTGCCACCAGACTCCTTGTTGTTTTTTTAGGGGAAATGGAGAAACAGTTGCTGCACACGAAATTACAGGAGCAATTTTAGGGAGGGTTGGGCTCATGGTTTAGGCACATGAATGCAACTGAGAAGAGTTGGCTTCAATTCCCACCTCTGCCACAGATTCCCTTATCCTCTTGGACCTTAGCTTCCCACCTGAGTGTAAAGCAGGGATCAATTTAGAGGATATGTTCTTAGGGGGTAGGTACCGTCTCCTGCTATATGTACAGCGCCTAGCAAAATAGGGCCCTGATCTTGGCCGACAACACTGGAGCTAATCATAGAATCATAGAATATCAGGGTTGGAAGGGACCTCAAGAGGTCATCTAGTCCAACCCCCTGCTACTCCTCTTGCAAAATACGTAGTAGGGGCTCTTTATCAAAAACAAGTGCCTAGGCCCTTGGCTTGACATCTCAGCCAAAACATGGCACCTGCAACAGCACAGAGCCCCCTGACTTGCTGGGTCCATACAGACTCCACTATATTAAGCAAGTGCAAATTAACCATAAACCAGTATTGGTCGTTCATCTTTCCATCCACATGGTCTGAGCTGCATTTGCTGCTGGGTGAAATGATTCTAGGTTTTGCCCAAGGGCAAAGTAGCTTTTGATATCTTTTTGGAGACTCACTTGGCCAAATAATCTCACTTCCAGCATTGTCTGCACAGGGTGTTCAGACACCATCTTCCCCATCCCAGAGAGAATTTCCCCTTCCATGGCACAGCCCTGAGACCTCAGCAGGAAGGGCGAGCATGGAGAGAGAGCTGTGTGCAAATACCAATTGAGATATGAAAACCACCGGGGAAAGGGCCGGGAAATGAGAACACTAAGTGAGTGGTTTGGTTTGGTGGGGCAAGAATCCTGTTGCTGCAGCAATCCTCCCTTAGCCTTGGAACTTGGACACACACACAGGGTTTTGGATAGCTACTGGGGTAAAGGCGGTAGGCAAATTCTCAGCTGGTGTAAATCAGCAGTTACTGATTTCAATGAGGCAGCATTGTCCAGTGTGTAGAGCACTGGGCTAGTACTCAGGAGATCTGGATACTAACCCTGGCTAACCTGTGGTGAGACTTGGACAAGTCTCTGTGCTTCAGTTTCCCCATTTAAGGTAATGATCCTTGCCTCATTTGTGAGCAGCTTTAAGAGCTATTGATGAAGAGCACTAGATGTTGTCATCTTTCAAGCTGAGGGGAATTACATGAGTGAAGACTGCCAGTGGGCAAACCACAAGAAAGTCTCACAGATTCAGAGGCTCACTCAAAATATCTGAACCTCGCTGTACAGCCCTGCAACTCTGCAGACATTCACTTCATCTGCGCAGATAGTGGAATGGATGCAAATACAACCGTGCAGGGCTCTACTCACCAGTGGTGCCTGGCCCACAGTGTCTGACTCAGGCAGCCTGTGGGGCGTGGCACGCTCAGGCTGGTGGCAGCAGCCAGTGCCTGGGGCTGAGCGGCAGGTTGGAGTCAGGATTGCCCAGCACCCGCTCGCTGCGACACTTCCTGTCCAGCAGCTTGGGCTCCTCAGGTAGCGCCAGCATCCCCACCATGGTCCAGCCCGGCAGCTCTGGCTGCGCTCCTGGGCTGCAGGGCCCGCCCACGGCCATGGGGATTGGAGTGGGTGGGGCTCCAGCGCCCCACCCCTCCACCCCGCTGTGATGCAACACCCACTGCTGCTACTGTGTGCCATCGCTCACGAGCCCCTGGGGCGCAGCACATGATGCGCCACCCCTTCCCCCCAGCCACCCCCTCTGCACCGCCCCTTCTTAGGATTGCCAACTTTCTAATTTCACAAAAATGAACTTCTTTGCCATGCCCCTTCCCCAAGGCCCTGCCCCTTCTCTGAGGTCCCGGCCCCCTTCCCTCCAGCCCCCCTCCCTCCATCACTCACTCTCCCCCCACTCTGTGGGGTGCAGGCTCCAAGAGGGGGCTCAGGGCTGGAGCAGGGGGTTAGGGTATCTGGGAGGGTATTTGGGTGCAGGAGGGTGTTCTGACCTGGGAATGGGGGTTGGGGTGCAGGTGGGGGTGTGGGATCTGGGAAGGAGTTAAGGTGCAGGATGGGGTTCCAACCTGGGGTAGGGGATTCGGGGTGCAGGCTCCAGCCAGGCGGTGCTTACCTGAGGCAGCTCCTGGTCAGTGGTACAGCAGGGCTAAGGCAAGCTCCCTGCCTGCCCTGGCTCCTCGCTGCTCCCAGAAGCAGCAGGCATGTCTGGCTCTTAGGTTCAGGGGTGGCCAGGCGGCTCTGCCCGGTGTGCACTGTCCGCGCCCACAGGCACTGCCCCCCGCAGCTCCCATTGGCCACAGTTCCCTGGGGCAGTGCACAGAGCTTCCCTGATTACACCTGCACCTAGGGGCCACAGGAAAATGCCAGTCACTTCCGGGAGCAGCGCGGCGCCGGGCAGGCAGGGAGCCTGCCTTAGCCCCACTGTGCCGCCGACCGGACTTTTAGTGGCCTGGTCAGCAGTGCTGACCAGAGCCACCAGGGTCCCTTTTTGACCGTGCGTTCCGGCCGAAAACCAGATGCCTGGCAACCCTACCCTTCTCCTCAAGACCTCAGCCCCACACTACTCCTTATCCCCAGTCACCACCATCGCGCTGCCTCTTCCCTGCAAGACCCTGCCCCCACTGCCCCCCCTGCCCCCCCTGCCCCTCCCTCCCATCGCTAGCCCTTGTGAGACAGTTTGCTGCTGTGGGTGTGGATGCAGATACAGGTAAAAGTCGGCTAGCAGATTGCGGATCTGATCGTGGGCAAAAACTGAATCTTTTCAACCAAAACCCAAAATATTTCAATTTGGAAATGCTGCTGCCAATGCCTCATGGAAGCTGTAACTGAGCTGCCTCATTCTCCCAGTCTCAAAAATCACCATCATCATTCCTAGATCTTATCTAAGTGCTTTTCATCAGCATGTCTCAAAGTGCTTTACAAACGAGGGCAATATCCTTACCCCCATTTTAAAGATGGGAAAACTGAGGCACAGGGCGGGGCTGTGATTTACCCAAGGTCACCGAGCAGGCTAGTGAAAAAGCCTAAAATAGAACCCAGGACTCCAAAGTCAAAGTCCACAGTTTCTATAGGCCATTTGTGACCAGCCTTAGTTTCCAGTCCCACTCTGGAGTGGGCCATGTCATCAGTCCTCAATCACAGAAATAATGCAAGGGGTGATTAGTTCATTGCCCTGGAGTCACATCCACTCTGGCAAGTCACTCAGGCAGCTTCTCTGGCTGAGAATCTTTGCCCTCTGTAGGGGAAAAGGAAAGTCACAAATGCCCGGTATCCATCATGCCTCCAGGCAAGCCAGAGAATGGCAGAAAGCTCTCACCTCCCACAGTCTCCAGACATCATCAAAGGATTTGAAGACTTGCTGGAAGAAGAGGCAAAACCAGGGGAACAGTGACTGCACAACTCTGCTCTTCCCTTCTGGAGGATGAGAAACGTAAACTCAGGTCAGGGACTGAGACACACCTTACCATCCAGCTTGTGCATGTATAAGTCAGAGAGTCTCACACTAGGGCACTCTTCTCAGTTGCTTTGTTTGCTGCACTACATGTTGGGTTGCCACCTTTAAAAGTTGGTTCTCCAGAGCAAACATACTGTTGCAACGCCTCGACATTGCATCACCATGTTGCCAGCTCTCATTGTCATCAGGCAATGCAGCATCAGCATGTAGTGACATTGTCACAGAATGGGATGCTGTTACATTGCTGTGCAACATCAAGGCATTGTCATGGCAACTCCATGCTATGTCATAACAAGAGGAAATTACACAGGCCCCAAAAAATGCCGAGACTCTGACAACCCATCCCCATGACATGTAGAACGTGAGTCAATATTGGAACTGTCCCATGGAAACTGGGATGTATTGGCAACCCCAGTCATTCTCAAGCCTCCTATTTAAACCCATGTAATGTCCCTGGAAGTGGCATGGAGGTATAGTGTAGGACCTGGAGGGGAAGGAAGAGCTTGGATTTTCCACCAAGGTGACATCAGTAGAAGAAGCCAGGTCTGGCCTTTCTAGTCTAAGGAAAGGACAGCTCAATGCAGGAAAGGAGCCTTAAAAGAGAAATTCCTGTCAGGGATGGTCTTGGTTTACTTGGTCCTGCCACAGCACAGGGTGCTGGACTTGATGACTTTGCATGGTCCCTTCCATCCCCACAGCTCCGTGATTCTATGAAATGCGAGAGGACCACTCCCTCTACCCATCCTTGTGAAATTCACAAGATTGTGGTAGTGAAAGACAGGAAAAGTGGATGGGGGAGGGTTGAGATTCCTGCTCCAATGTCAGGAAATCCAGGATGTGGGACCTCTGCTCAGGGCCTCAGCCTCCATGCACATGAGATGTGGCAGAACTAGGCGAAACCTGTGCAAATGGTTCCTTTGTTTTGCTTCCAGCACCTGGAAATTACACCACCTGAGCTCCAGTAGCATTTGCTTTGTGGTTCTCTGGGTAGAGAAGGAGAGTAGCAGGACTTACCCAAGTGCTTTGCAAAGATGGGATCCATAAATGCAATCACGGCTTTCAGCATTATCAGATTTTTCCCGACCCCAATGTTCACGACACAACTGTGCTCCTGGAAGACAATTCAGGAAGGCTTGGAGGACAGGAAGAGAACAGATGGCCCAGCTTGGCTACAACCTCCTGTTAAATCCATGAAGCCAAATTCATCCTTCCCATAATTCCATTGGCCTTACCCCAGGAATGGATCTGGCCAGGGTTTACACTACCCCTGCATGAGTCACCAACTCGGTTTCAACCTGGGACCTCCTGAATTGTAATATAGATTGCTACTGCTTAAGCAAAAGGTACACTCCCAGTAGCTGGTAGCAGCAGTAGGATGTTACCCTCTGGCGGACCAGTCATTAGACACAAACTCCGGGCACACTGTTGCTTATGTTTCTCTGTTTCCGTAAGCATGCACTACTATGTCTAAAGTTAAACATACATTAGATATAACCTCTGCTTGCATGGTGCTCATAGACACCTTTCTGCGACAGCCAGGGGGCGCCGCCTTTGGCTTGGCAAA